GAGGAGAATGGAGGAGAAGGGATTGTGGGGTGGCCAGCCCCCCTGGGGGGTGATTTCTCGCTTTCTGTCTTTCTGTCTCTTGTCTGGCAAGCACACGCGCCCTATAGCAAAAAACTCTCAAAAAAAAAAGAAAAGTCAAGGTTGGGGCTGGCAGGTGGTGTGGTGGTTGACACTGGACTCCTACATGGCCAACCGCAGTTCGAGTGCCTTACTTTCTCACTTTCCCTCTCTCTGGTCAAATTAAAAAATAATAAATAATTTTTTAAAAATGTCTAGGGACCAGCAGGTGGCATGGTGGATAAGGCACTGGACACTCCCACATGGCTGACCACAGTTCAAGTCCAGGGCCTGGTGGGCTGCTTTCTCGCTTTCTCTCTATTTCTCTGTCTCTCTCTAGTCAAATTAAAATAAATGAATGAATAAATAAAATTAAATAAATAATTCTTTTCAAAAGGAAAATAAAAAAATTGTCAAGATTATAGAAATAAAGACACACTGGGGCTGACAGGTGACATGGTGGTTTAGGTGCTGACTCCCACATGGCTGACCACGGTTCAAGACCTGGACCTGGCTTTCTCACTTTTCTTCTATCTCTCTCTTTCTCTCTGTCACTCTCTGGTGAGCAAGTGTACACTGTAGCATATTAAATAATAAAAAATAAAGTAAAAAAAAAAAAAGGACTGAGGAACTGGTCAGATTAAAGGAGACTAAAAAGCCAAGACAACTAAAGGCACTGTGGGGCCAAATAGGATCCTGGACTAGAAAATGGCTCTCCCCCCTTTAGGATAATTGGAAAAATTCAAATGTCTGCAGATTAAGTAATAGTACTATTATATTCATGTTAATTCCCTGATTTTGGTAACTACATTGTTGTATGAGAAAGTCCTTAGGGATTTTTTTTTTGTTATTTATTTAACATTTTATTTATTGTTATTTTAGAATTATTTATTTTATTTATTAATTATTATTATCTTTTTTTATTTGTCCATAGAGAGAGAGAGAGGGAAAGCGAGAAAGCAAGCTTCTGTGTCTCGGACTTGAACCGTGGTCAGCCATGTGGTAGTCCAGTGTCTTAACCACCACACCATCTGCTGGCCCCTATTACTACAACTGTTTTAAATTTACTATAGGGCATGTGTTCTCACCACAGAGAGAGAGAGAGAGAGAGAAAGTGAGAAAGTAAGCCACCCTGTCTGGGACTCGAACTGTGGTTGGTCCAGTGCTTCAACCACCATGCCACCTGCTGGCCCTTGTCCTCAAGGGGTTTTTTTTGGAAATAAGCAGTGATGTATTTTGAAGTAAATGTGCATTGTGTTTGCAATTTTTAAACAGTTTAGATACAGAGAAAAAGAAGGGAGAGAGTGATCGTTGTTAGTAATTGGTAAAATGTTACTATTTAAGGAAATTGAGTGACGCATACAGAATTCTTTGTATGACCCTAACAACTTCTCTAGAAATATAAATGATTTCAAAGCAAAGTTTTAAATATAAAAGAAATGTGCTGTATAAAAGCACAGGGGTGATCTAGCATAGTCTGGGAATTTGCACACAGCCTGGGCGTGGTCATTATTAGAGAAGGGGTGTCTTGTGTGGGCCATGTGTTGCTCTCTAACTAGAGACATCAGGATGTTCTAGGCCAGGGCTTGCAAACTTGTGTTTGTGAGAATCACCTAGGGATCTTGTTCCGTGCAGGTCTGGGTAAGGATTGAAACTCTTGCCTTTTTTTTTCTTTCTTTCTCTTTCTTTCTTTCTCTCTCTCTCTCCTTTCTTTCTTTCTTTCTTCTTTCCTTTCTCTTTTTTTAATTGCTGGGGGAAGCATGCACTCACCAGAGAGAGAGAAAACACCCCCCCCACCCTGAATGGGACATGGTCTTGCCACAATCCCTTTTCCTCCATTTCTCCATCTTGTCAGAATTGTGGACATGTATGCACATGCACCTGATGTGTTTGTCAAACTCCCAGGGCTGAGATTCGAACTGTGGTCAGCCATGCTATAGCTATGATCAGCCATGTGAAATCTGGTTCTCTTACCCACTAGGCTATGGGGCAAGCCTGGGATTCTGCTTTTCTTTTTTCTTCCAATGATTTAATTTTCATTATTATTATTATTATTTGCTATAGAGCACGTGTGCTCACCAGAAAAAGAGAGAGAAGGAAAGTGAGAAAGCAAGCTGTCAGGTCTGGGACTCAAACCGTGGTCCACCATGTGGGAATCCAGCCCCTTAACCACCATGGACCTGCTAGCCCTGGGAGTCTGCCTGAGTTCCCAGGTGATGCTGGTCTGTGGGCTGCCCTGTGGGTGGCACCGGAATTCAGGCTGTGGCCTCCCAAGCCTGGCTGCATTAGGGCCCAGAGGATCTGACGTCTATTAGTCTTCCCAGGATTAAACCTTGGACTTCAATGCCTGCTCCTCCTTTCATCATCTCCAACTCAGACCCGAGCCTCAGCATCCTAGCTGGGGGTTTTGCTGCTGCTTCGCTATATCCAACACTAGGATGCCAGACCAGCCCCCCGCCCCCCTGCAACTCAAAGGCGTATCTGTGTGGCAAGCAAGAACGCCCCACCAGGAGCAAGCCCTCTGTGATGCAGCCGCTCCCACCAGTCCTGCCTTCTCTCCGGGTCCCCCTCTGGTTCTCGGCTCCCAGGAGAGCACGACTCCGACACTGCGGCCCGGGTCCTACCTGCACACCCGCACCGTGGCCTCTCACCACATGCGCCTGAGTCTCATCTGGTCTCCAGGCGAGAAGCAACACATGCATCCTTGCTCCATGGAAGACCATGGCCGCTGCGGACCCCTCCTCCTGCTGGACTCTTTTGGGGTGCTTGCAGTCCTCTAGGAGAGGCACTGGCTGACAGTGGGGAGCCTCAGAGGGAAAAGAGGAGAGTATGCTGCGGTGACACAGGCTCTCCACTTGGGTCACCGGGCCGGGGCTCAGCTCCGTGTGTGTGCAGGGGAGGGCTCGATGGCTGGGTGTTGCCCTGGAATCCGGGCCTGGCCACCCAATCCTCTGTCCCCTCCCCCCACCCACTCTTCCCTCCCTCCTTCAGCCTAGCATGTGGCTAGGATCCGAGGAACCTGGAGGAAAATAGGTCACAGGGAGGTGCCATATGGGTTGTTCCCTGAGGAGAGGGCCCGGCCTAGGACAGCAGCCTTGCGTCTGTTAGGCCACAGAGGGAGCTGAAGCATTTTAGAGGGGGCCGCAGGACCTGGAGGCCCGAGCAGACCACCTCCTTCTCCAGTTCTCCTACCTTGTCCTCCAGCCTGGCTCTCCTGGGAAGGTGCTTCGTCCTGATCCCAGACCTTCCCTGCCCCCTCCACCCGCCTCCCCAGCTGACAGAGCTCATTCCAACTGATGCTGGCTGCGGAGCAGGGACAGACGGGGTTCAATAAGCCCCGGGCTAGAGGGCTGAGCCTGCCCTGGTTCCCAGGAGAACCGCAGCTGGAGGAAGAGGGGGCCAGCAGGGGCTGCTCTCTGCTCAGATCAGCTTCATGGGGGCCCAGGGACAAGTGCCCAGAAGCCAGGAGGAAGGAGACTCGCCCGCCTCTGGCTCCTGCCCAGGCTGCTTGTCTCTCTTAGAAGTTGTCCAGTTGGAAACCTCCAGAAAGGCTCATGCCGCTCTCGAGAAGGGAAAATGATGCAAGAGGCCCTTGGAGTTTGGGGTCCCCGGCCTCCCTGCAGGTCCTCAGTCCCTTGCCCGTCTCTGGCCTCAGGCCAATCTTCCGGGGCCCAAGGCCACCTTGGTGGGTGCAGGGCATCTTGCTCTGAGCACCGGTTCCCGGCGTGGTTGCTGGGGACATTTGGAAGACAACCTGCCTCTCCACAGAGCTTTCAGTCACTCGCTTCTCCCTTCGCGTTGGGGCTTTCAGATCCCTGGCCCTGCTGCGCACCAGAGGAAGAGGCAGGAACTTGAAAGCAAGTGTGAGGTGGTCCCCTAAAATGGGAACACCCTATTCCCGGATCTGGGAATGTCCTCCCCTCCATCCAAAAAGAAGCTGTTTTCCCCCTGTAGAGCCTCCCCAAGCTGCCAAGCACCCTGCACCCCCAACTGGAGCCCCCACCTCCTCCCCTGCCCCCCGGAAGGCCCTTGCTGCCTGTGCAGAGCAGCACTGGTCTCTAGCCTTGCTCCTGCCTCCAAGGGCCAGCCCCTGGGGCGACAAGAGCACCTCCTCACCAGGCAGGCACGTCCTGTTTGTCTGTAACAGCCGTAACCTTCCAACCCCCAACCAAGACATCTCCCGAATACCTTTAGGGTCCCTTTTAGGTATAAGGAGCAATGTGGATGCTGAACTGCTGTAGAGTTAAATAATTAGAGGAATTCTGACTGGATTAGAAATACGGAGAGGAATCATGGAGGGAGTTCAGTCCAAATATTGAAATGGAAGCTGCCTGAGAAACCTCACGCTACACAGTCACTGTATCTGCTCCCTTTTATCACCAAGCCAAGCACTCAGCCCGCACGTGCCGCATCCTCGTCACTGCCATTTACTCCCTCCCCCTCCCCCTCCCCCTCCGTTCCACTCACCCCCAATCAACACGTCACATGGTTTCCCCATGAATCAATCTTTATTGGTTTTCGAAGTAATTGAATTATTGGCACAAGGCTCTGTGGGCTTCAAAGCAAAAGACAGAAGGAAACATACCATTGCGTGCAGGCAGAGAGGTTCCCCAGGGACACATCCCAGGGTGACTGTGACCCTTGGCCACCAGCTGGGTCTGGCTCACGAGGACCCCATGGCCAGGACTCGGCCCAGCCCAGATAGGCTTTATGGATCTGAAGGTGATGGAGTCACCCCTCAGGAGATCCTCAGGGGTCCCCAGTCCTCTCTCAAAGACAAGCATTTGCTAGTATCCTTGGGAGCTTTTTCCAGTCTTCAAATCTTTGCCACCCATAGCAGTGTGACCACCGGAGATGCTGTCCCCCTAAGCAGCCGGCCTGCCCTCCCTCACCGTGCTTTCCAGCAGAAGCCTCACTGACCAGGGGCAGGAGAAGAGGGAGACTCGAGGGAGGGCGGGCGCTGCTTTTAGAAGGCTGACCGAGCCCAGCGACTCCCCTGAGGACGTGGCCACCAATGGTGAGCATCTCCACCAGTGTGGGGGTGGGAGGCATGGCAAAGGGGGCTTCTCAGTAGGAAAACTCTTGCCGCCCCTCCTCTGAGGAGGGCTCTTCCTCTATGAGCTCCAGGTCAAACTCCTCCTCCAGGGACCCTCCCACGGGCAGAAGGCGGAATTTCTTTCCTTTCAGGGTGCACGTGCGATGCTCGAAGTCCAGGACCGCGTTGTGGTCCTGCAGCACGTCGGTGCCGATGATGGCTTCTTCAGCACTGGCGTTGGCCACCAGAAACTCGGCCTTCAGCTTCAGCTTGCCCAGGGACACCACTGTGTTCCAGACGCCCAGGATCTTCATCTCAGCTCCGTTGGCCACTTTTACCACATTCTCAAAGGGCCGCAGGGTGTCCAAGTCGCCATCGGTGACCTCCTCCCACAAGCTGGGGTGCACCACGGAGACCTGGGCCCCCGAGTCCACCAGGAACCTCACGGGGACCTTGCCAATCTTCCCCTTGAGGTAGTAGCCCTTACCCATGCTGTTGGCAAAGACGATCTCTTTAGGCAGGTGGCTGTGGGCGGCCCCAGTGCACCCAAAAGCCTTCAGGAGGGCCTCCTTCACCGCCCCATAGTCTCCCTGGTCCTCAGCACTGAGTGCCCGGTAGACCTCCAAGGCATCTCCCCGGAGGGACTCTTTCAGGAACCTCAGTTTGGTGACCTGGTCCCAGTGGTTGAGGTCATCGATGACCTCAAAGCGGTGCACCCAGAGACTTGGGGCTACATTGGCTCCATCGAAAGGCTCCGGGACGAAGGCGTGCTCCCGGCGGCCTGCCTGGCTCCTGGCTCCGCTCCCGGCCATCCCTCTGCTCTCCTCAGGAACTTCAGCAGTGACCCACGCCAAGTAGAGCAAGCCGCAGAGCAGTGTGGGCGCAATTCGCTGGAGAGCCAGGCCTCTGAGCTGAGCGCTGCAGACTTGCCACGGGGGGCAAGCAGAGGGAGCAGGCGAGGGCTGTGTGGTGGCTGCTGGGCACAGAGGCTGGCTGCGGCTGTGGCCTGCTGGCTCTGCAGAGCCTTTTTGATGCCTAGCCTGGGCCCCCAGGGCTCCCCATTCTCCTTTGTTCTGGAAGCTCCACCCCTCCTGGTCCCGCCCTCCTGCCAGCATCCGACCAGACTAGCAGGATGGGTGCCTCACCCTCCTGCATCCCTTCTCGGGACTGACAGGCCAGCCCACGTCGCAGGCCCAGCCTCAGTCAGAGGGGTCCTACCCAGGAACCCCCGACTCCCAGCCTGTCCCAGAATAACAGGCGAGGACACGAAGGACGCTATGACACTCGGGTGTTTGACATCACCTGGAGGAGGAAGAATGGGGAGGCAAGGACCAGGGCCAGCAGCTTTTAGGTTGTGAAAGCCCCTGGCTTCACCTTCAGTGACCACTCGGAGGGGCCAAAGGGAAGGAGCATCCATTGAACTCCTGTGTGCCTGGGTAGATGTTTCTCGTACCTTCTGAACCAAATATGGGATTCCATGAGACTCCCTATATCACGAATGCACAGAGGTGGCTTTTTAGATGAGTGAACACACACGCACACACACACATGCACACACACGCACACACATGCACACGCACACACACCCCTTCTATAACACAAACTCAATTGCTGCAATGATCTTGACCTCCTGGGAGCAGACGCGGGAATCCAAGCTCCAGCTCCAGCTCTCCACCCGACCCTCAACTCCGCAGGTGTTGAACTCCCCCTGCCCAGCCCCCCTCGAGTTCCAGGAACTCCCCAACATGAGCAAGGAGGGACTGTCACTCCCTGTTTGTTTTTTGGGAGATGCCAAGGGTGAGGCCTGGAAGGCTCGGGCTGGAGGAGCCTCTGCTACTGGGGGTGAAGGCAGCCCCCTGGGCATCCCCCAGATTCACCACCACCCCCAGCAGGTCTGTGAGTCTGAGGGCTGGAGGGCTGACTTTGGCCTGTGCAGGGAACGTGAGGCTGTTGAAGGGACCCACTTTTTTTTTTTATGTTTTCTTATTCACATTTAGTTGTTGTATGTCTCTGTAGACCACAATATGGGTTTTCGAAGTACTCATGTAGTACGTGAGCACCCACGTCATTTTCAATGGAGATCTTTGCATTCTTCAGTCTGCTGTGTGTTTTGTTGCCTAGCCCCTCCCACCCTTTACTCTGTACCCTCTCCCATGAGGTCTCTGGTATTTACACTTGAGACCCACTTTGATAACCTGTTTATGTCACCTCCTCCATGGAGCCTTCCACCTGTCGCAGCATGCATACCCACTCTGGTTGAACGTGCAGCTACAACGCACCCTGATGCTTACAGCCTGCCAGGAGCCAGGCTGGGCTTACAAACCTGGCATCCTGGTGGTCTCCAACCTTATAGAATTCACCTGGGGCCCAGGAGGTACTCTCTGCTGGACCCCAGACCTGGCCATGTGCTGTCACCGGATAGGAGATTAAGGACAGGAGAGAATGATCCAGTGGCACACCTGTGGCTCTGGGCTGTTTTTCTGGCCTCAAGCCTGTCCCCACCTGTGCTGTTCATCACCATGCCTGACTGAGTCCCAGAGGTACCCTGGCCCCTGTCCGGTCTCTAGACAGCCCCACGGTCCCCAACCATGCCGCATGACTCTCCATCCCTGCTGCTGTCTCCAGCCCCTTCCACCTGACATGGTGAGCCAGCAAAGAGGCAGCTGGGTCAACACCCCTCATCACAGCTGCTTGGTGAAGGTGGGGCTATTGTGGCATTCCAGGAGACCAGAGAAGGGGGAAATGGAGTCACCGGAAAGGTGTCAGGAATGGGTAGGTCTCTGAGAAGGTTGCACAATGAAAAACCAGCATCTGGAGAAATGGCCCAGCCACACGCAAGACCTGGAAGCCCCTTCTGCAAGTGGACTTCTGCGGACAGACTCCAGGCCCTGGGATGGGCATTGTTCATGACCTAGAGAATGGACCCGGTGGTTTCCTGTGGCCCCCAGGTATTTGTCACCTTGAACACCTAGTCCCCTGGGAGTGAGAATGGGTGAGGCCTCTAGCATGTGACTGAGGAAGAGGAGAGGCAAGGTGGTTTGTCAGCTGACAAGTTAGGATGGCCGGATGACCCAAAGTGGCTGTTCAAACCATAGTGATAGGCCTTGGGCTTAGACCAGAAGTAGGTGATCCCTTGAGATGCCATTGGGTTGAGTTTGGGGTTCACTCACAAAGTCCCTTCACATCCACCACTCTGTGAGCCTCATCACAACCTACAAGGCAACCAGGACACTGAAGGGCAAGTTCTTCTGTGGCCTGCCTACCGCAGGTCCCCAGCTCTGTAGTGGCTGGACAAGGGCATTTTGTAAAGACAGGGAGGTGGGGTGCTGGGCTCAGGGAGGTACCCCTAGGTCTGGAGGGCTTGGCTGAGAGGTCCTCTGATGAAGGCTGGGTCTCAATGACGGTGAAGCAAGAGCTGACTGATTAATATTTGGGAACCAACTGGTAGCCGGCAAATGCTTAAAATTACATTTGGTGAGAACGTTTACACCACGAAAACTGGCAAACGCTAGATCAGGACTTCCATTTTTTTGGAACACTGGTTGATCATCACACCCATGCCTGGGGGCTTGGTCACTCTGACCCTCTCTGCTGCAGGGAAAGCTGCAGGCCAGGAACAAACACGCTTATAGCAATCTCCACCCTTGTTCTACCACTTGAGCCCAATCACCTCTCCAACCAGGGAGCCAAAGCCCACTTTGCCCCTGCCCCTCCCCACAATCTGTACTTCTTGCGTGGCTGTGGCTTGAGGGAGGTGGCCCTCCACAGGGAAGCCCTCCAGGCTGCAACTCTTCACATGGTTCCATTTGAGGTTTTCACAATGGAAGCACACAGGGCTCATGGTGCCCAGGAGAGCTAGAAGAGGCCAGGGGTCAGCCTTTTGCAAAGTTCGGGGCCATCTCTGGCTAGGATCAGGACCATGGTGAAGAGTGCCCTTGACCCCGATGCACCCCAGAAGTACTCAGGACCCTTGGAATGGCTGTACTAATGGTGCACTGCTGAGCAACCAGCTGGCTGGAGCAGGCCACATGCCACCGCCTCTTTCCAGAGCAGAGGAAATCGCAGCTAATTATTGATAAGTATAGGTATTGGGTGGAACACCCTCATTATCACGGATTAGCCTCCCTGAGTCTGCTCTGAAGCAGGCACACAGGACTTAAGCAAAGGGCAAAGCAGAACCATAAACAGGAAGGCCTCAGGGAATCCCCACCCTCCACACCCCCTCACTGAGGTTTCTGGGCTGTGAGCCCTGCTGCCCCAATTCTGCCCCAGCTCCCTGGCCCTCCTTCACTATTTCTTCTCTCCCAGGAGAGATGTACAAGTCGGCACAAGCCCAGGGTAGGGCCCATCAGGCCTGCTGTGAATTGAAGCGCTCGTGGGCAGAGGGGCCACCCACACTCCTCGGATAGTTCCTGCTGCCTGATGGCTTCTAAGGACACAGTGGGGACTCCAAGAACCCGGAGACTGAAGTTCTGAGGGGTGGAGGGCTGAACACCACATGCAGTGGTGGTTGGGGGGAGGGCTGGGAAGGGACTTGTCCTTCTAAAGAGGTTATTTTTAAGCAAGGAGGCAAGGGACAGACACCTGTGGATTGTGGTGTCCCGAGAGAGGCCCAGATTGGAGCAGGAGGGTCAGGAGAGGTCAGAACAAGCCCTTCAATGCTCAGGTGCCATTGCAGCTCCCCTGTCACTTCCCCGGGCTGAGGTCAGGGTCACCCTGGGTAGCTGGCGGGCAGCAAGGGGGCAACCAGGCTCTTTTTCTTTTTTTTTTTTTAATTTTTTTTTTTTTAGAGTTTTTTGCTATAGGGCGCATGCGCTCGCCAGACAAACAGAGAGAGACAGAGAGACAGAAAGCAAGAAATCATCCCCCAGGGGGGATGACCACGCCGCAATCCCTCCTCCTCCATTCTCCTCTCAGGATCTTGGGCACGCACGCACACGTGCCCGGCGTGAGTTTAAGCCACCGGGTCCGAGACACAAACGGCGGTCGACTACGTGGGAGTCCAGCAACATAGCCATTACGCTAACTGCTGGTCCCGCAACCAGGCTCTTTTCAAGGCAGTGTTGGAAGGTTGAAGGGAGACAGGCAGTGCACGTCCTCTGACCAGGACCGGCTTCGCGGGAGGGCAGCTTGTCCAGGGTTCAGAAAGGCCCTGAGCTTGTTTTAATGTTCTACTGCTGCTGTCTTAAAATTCCTGATATTTAAAAAATAATTGTTTCTTTAATTTTATTTACCATTTTTTTTTACTTGCTATAGGGCATGTATGCACACCAGAGAGAGACAGAGAGAGGGACAGAAAGCGAAAAAGCAAGCTGCGAGGTCCGGGACTCAAACCATGGTCAACCATGTGGGAGTCCAGCGCCATAACTACCATTCCACCTGCTGGCCCCGAAATTCCTAATAATTTTGAAAACAGAGCCCTGCATTTCCGTTTAGTACAAGGCCCTACAAATTATGTCATTGGTTTTTGTTTTCAACTAATCTAGTGGTGAAGCCTTCTCTTATTCGCACCTGCCATCTGTCTAGACACACAGATATGGACGCGCACGGGCACACACACTCAGTCCTTGCCACTTACCACACATACATGCACTGTCCACAGAAAGACGGTCCCCACCCACTGGGTGCACATCCCGTACATGGAAAACACGCGCCGTCCACGCGCAGTCACGCTGCAGGGCTCAGTTTGAAAGGCTAAGGACGTGTGTCATTTGCATGTAGATTCAGTCCCCACCTTTCTCTTCACAGATTTATTTGCACCCACATTCGTGCCAAGTATTAAAATCATTTATTGGAGGCACCTGCTGTTCGTTAGCCTCTAGGCACACTTGCTGCTTCAGAAGACAGGCCGTACCCCATCAGCACAGCTTACAAGCCAATGAAAACTGAACAGGGAGTTTAACAGCCAGGGTGTGAAGAGTTTAAGACCCACGTCTATGTGCGGGCTGACCCACTTAAAGCAGCCCCTAGTCGCGCCACGCTGCTTTGAAGGAGCCGGTTTTTAAGTGGGTCATGCTGCCTCTGCTCCCTCCTGCCCTGGGAGCCCAAGGACTCCACTCTTC